TCTCTCTCTCTCTCTCTCTCTCTCTCTCTCTCTCTCTCTCTCTCTCTCTCTCTCTCTCTCTCTCTCTCTCTCTCTCTCTCTCTCTCTCTGCCTGTTTCCATTGAATTAAACTTCTAAAACATGAACGTACAATAATGGATGTTGTTTCCAAATAAATTAAAATAAATTAAATTAAAAATTAAAAATAAAAGCACAATGACAACCCAAGCTTAAGAGACATTGATTATAAATTACAAAATACAAGTACTCTTTACCTGTGCTTAGACCTCATTTGACCTCTATTGGCATCTTCACGCACCAAAATTTCTTAATCAAAACATTAGAGCACATACAATCGTGTATCAAAGTTCCCAATCTCGTAAACAGTGTTAGAAAACTTGAGCGAGCTAAGTGGGATTCTCGCCACTTTGGTTGACATTATCTATGGACCCCAAAATAATAACCTAAAATATGCAATGATCTTATCATAGGCAGAATTATAAGGAAGGTTGGTCAACTTGCATTTTTTTTTCCCCAAAATTGCCTCTCAATTCGAGGATTCCATCCTCGAACCCTACATTTGAACCTTGTTTTTTAGGCTTTTCGGTAGTAGCACAGTGCCCCAGCTTTAGTGGTAGTGCCCAAGATTTAGGGGCAGTGCCCAAGCTTTAGGGGCAGTGCCCAAGTAGCCTGAGGTTAGAATCCTCAGATCGCCCTATGAACACAGCAAAATTCTAGTAGAACAGTGTAAGGTCCCCATCCTCGGATCATTGTTTTTCTCAAATAAATAAGAAATAAAGTGTGGTCTAAGGATGGGGACCTTAGACTGCCTTGAAACTCAGTTCTGCTAAGTTTGGAGAGCAGGTCTGAGGTCTCATCCTCGGACCTTTGTTTTTCAAAAAAATAGAAGATAAAGAGTGGTCTAAGGATGGGGACCTCAGATCGCTGTTTTTCTCAAAAAATAAGAATGTAAGAGTGGCCTAAGGATGGGGACCTCGGGCCACTTATGAATTGAGGTCTACTCAGTCGAGAGGGCGATCCAAGGATACGAACCTCAGATCACTTGGGCACTGCTCTTAAAGCTTAGGGTGCGGCCCTAGACAAAGTAATTTTTGTAAAAAATTTAAATGCAATTTGAGGATGGCGTCTTCGGACCGAGGGACAATTCTGGAAAAAATAAAAAAATGTGGGTTGGCCGACCTTCTTTGAAATCGGATCATTTCATACAATCGTGTATCAAAGTTCTCAATCTTGCAAATCTTCTTAATCAAAACACTAAGACACATACAATTGTGTATCAAAGTTCGCAATCTCGTAACCAGTGTTAAAAAACTTGGGGCGAGCTACGTGGGACTCTCACCACTTTGGTTGATTTTATGTATGGACCCCAAAATAATTACCTAGAATAAGAAATGGTCAGATCATAGGTGGAATTATAAGGAAGGTCGGTCAACTTACTTTTTTTATTATTCCAAAATTGCCCCTTAGTTCGAGGATTCCATTCTTGGACCCTGCATTTGAACCATTTGTTTTCTTTTTTTTTCTTTTATTTTTTTTTTTTAATGTTTTTCGGTAGTAGCGCAGTGCCCCAGCTTTAGAGGTAGTGCCCAAGCTTTAGGGGCTATGCCCAGGTAGCCTGAGGTTAGAATCCTCATACCGCCTTGCAAACACAACAAAATTCCAGTAGAACAGTATAAGGTCCCCATCCTCGGAAAGTTGTTTTCCCCAAATAAATAAGAAATAAAGCGTGGTCTGAGGATGCAAAGCTCGGACCGCTATTTTTCTCAAAAAATAAGAATGAAAGAGTTGTTTGAGGATGGGGACTTCGGGCCACTTAGGAACTGAGACCTGCTCAATCGAGAGGGCGATCCGAGGTTTTGAACCTCGGATCGCCTTGGCACTGCCCCTAAAGCTTGGGGCACTGCCCTACTAACGAAAAAATATTTTTTTAAAAAAAATTAAATGCAGTTCGAGGATTGCACCCTCGAACCGAGGGACAATTTTCGAAAAAATAAAAAAATGTGGGTTGACCAACCTTTCTTGCGATCAGATAATTTTATATTTTAGGTGAAGTTTTTGGGTCCGTATATAATTCATTCTAGATAATAAACATCTCATGCACATTTCCACCTAGATAATGAATAGTTAGAGATCACAAATGATGCACAGCAAACTTAGAAACCCCAGCCCGGGTTGGATTGGTCCATCCAACCTCACTCAGGTACACAACCCACGATTTCAATGACTATTTCTCTCTCACAAAACCCACGACTAACTAATTCTCTCTAATACCATAGAAGTCGCTTTCTTTCCCAAAACAAACAAGGAAAAGTCATCTCTCTCTCCTCTAACACACACTCTCTCTCTCTTTATTTATTGATATTAAACTGAACTTTCACAACATAAAGGCACAAAAGAAATAAAAGAAAAAGCAAAAACACAATAAGAGACACCATACAAGCTTAGGAGACATTGAATATTACTGCTTTTGTGCACCTCATTTGACATCTGCACACACCTAATCTTCTTCTGAGACATTTCAAGCCCATCAAAGTTTGTAATCTCGTAACCAAAATCAATCCATCCACTCAAGAACGGAATGGGACCAATGCCTTGGAACAAATATCATTGAGAAAAACCCATCGAATCCAAACCCAAATCCTAAACCCACGCTCATCCATGGAATCTCTGATGACCCATTTCTCATATCCCTGCTATTGCTTGAATTTGAGACTGACTCTTCGCGAGTGCACTTCTCCAGAAGAAGAGGACCACAAAGCTGTGGGTTCCCGTAGTACGATGGAGTATTGAATGTGGTCATCTGGCCGCTGTAGGGAATGGGTCTTGATAAATTATTGAAGGACACGTTCAGAGTGTTTAAGAATGTCATAGATTGCATGTTTGGAGGAATTTCACCTGAAAGCAGATTGTTTGGTAAATCAAGCCTTTCCAGTTTTCGCATTTTGTAAATCTCCTCAAGAATCCTCCCGCTGAGATGATTGTGGGATAAGTTCAGGATATGTAGGCTACTCAATCTTGTCAATTCTTTGGGAACCGGTCCTGAAAAATTATTTCTCGAAAAGTCAATACATGTTACTCCAAAATATAGCTAGCTATATGGTCGCATTTTCCCATTTGCATCATGAAAACATCTCCATGGTTATATGAATAGAAAGTTTCAAACGGCTTCTCATGGAGTGTGTACACTGGTGCATCGTACATGACCACTGCTGTTATCTTCTTGAAAATGGCAGGGACAGTGCTTGAAAGACTATTGAGTGTTAGATCTAGCACTTGAAGAGAATATAGTTGTGATTCCCCAAAGGAATCTCTCCTTCGAATATATTAGACCTTAGGCTAAGGACATGAAGGGACTTGATGCTCTTGCCAATCCATGATGGGATTTTCCCGAGATCTAGAAGCTTTAATTTGAAAGAAAATCTCAATGACGGGGGTATGTAACCTGATAAAGTATTGTTACTCAGGTTCAAATACTGGAGATCCATTAGATTTCCCATAGTTGGAATAGGTCCCATCAATTTATTTCCAACAAGATCAACCACACTCAAATTCACAAAATCTCCTATGAAGTTGGGGATGGATCCTGTAATGCCACTATTAGGAACATTCAACCATTGTAGATTGGGCATGACTTGCCCAATGTTTTTTGGAATAGAGCTTGAAAATCGATTTGCCTGATTCAGAAATTTGAGATGACTCATGTTCATGCAGTTTCGTGAGTTTTCTGATTCGTTGCCTTGAAAATTATTTGAGCCTGCATCTAAGAGTTGAATGGTTTCAAGGTTCCACAGTTTTGGAGGAAGAGAACTTGTGAGATGGTTACCATATAGGTTCAAGTAAACAAGCTTGGAAAGATTTCCAATGGAGGAAGGGAGTGAACCATTGAGCTCGTTACTTGAAATTTCCAAGAACTCAAGATTTGTTAGATTCCCTATTTCCATAGGGATATGTCTTGAAAACTCATTCGAAGGAATATCTAGCCAACGAAGATTCTTGAGAAGACCAATTTCTTAGGGGATCGGTCCAATGAATGAGTTTCCTATGAGACTCATTCTTTTTAGATTAGTCCAATTGGTGAAAATATCCCTAGGGATGGCACCAGTAATTCTATTGTGATCAATATAAAACTCAAAAATTCTACTCAATGCAGCAAGAGGTGGTGGTAAAGAACCTGTTATATGATTTTCAAACAAATATAAGTAGTTTAGGTTTGTACAAAGCCCAAGCTGAGATGGTATGCTTCAACCCACACAAGGAAAGGTCTAGATGTTGGGAATTTGCGAAAGAGTCGATATAATAATTTGATCGAAAATAGCAAAATGAAGAAGAAACAAAAATTTTATTTTCTAAAAAGTTTCACTATTTCATAAGCAAAAACAGGGTTACAATAGCATAATGTGGCTTGAGAGACCACCTAGCATTACTTTTTTCTTCACACATTTCCTTTACATCTCAGCCTTATTTATAGGGCTTTTTGCCGCCCTTTTATGGCCGTTAGGAAAAGTCTAGAGAGGGAGAGAGGAGGTGGTCTAGAGAGAGAGACCACCGACTGAAAGAGTCTAGAGAGAGGGAGAGAGGCGGTAGAAGGATAAGCCTCTATAGAGAGAGAGGCGGTGGTTTTAGAGAGTTTTCTAGAGAGAGAGAGAGATGAATTAATAATTTAACATCCCTCTTAATTTTTCACTGTCATTTCTTCTCTGAGTTTCATAAGTGTATCTGTTAAAAGCGACTTTGTAAAGATGTCAGCAAGTTGGTCATTTGTTCCGATGAACTTGAGCTCGATCTCTCCTTTCTCGACCAAGTCTCTAATGAAGTGGTGGCAAAGCTCTATATGCTTTGTCTTGCTATGAAATACTAGATTTTTCGTCATAGCTGAAGTTGACATGTTATCACAATAAATTGTCATTGGATCCTTTTGCTCATGATGTAAATCATATAGAATTCTTCTCAGCCAGACTGCTTCGCACGCAGTGCTAGTGGATGAAATATATTCCGCTTTTGCATATGATAGGGTAACTATTTTTTCTTCCTTGACGACCAAGATATAACTTTAGATCCCAAGCAGAATAACGTATCCTGACGTGTTTTTTCTATCATCTAACAATCCAATTCAATCGCTATTTGTGTAGCCAACCAGATTGTTGTCTTTCTCTGTAGTATACTTGAGACTAAAGCTCTTAGTTCCTTGAACATATCTTAATATTCTCTTAGCTGCTACAAAATGCAACTTGCTTGGTTTGCTCATGAATCTGGAGACAATACTGACTGCGTGAACGATATCTGGTCTTGTGTTTGTGAGATAGATGAGTAAGCCAACAAGACTTCTATAAGAAGATGCATCTGCTTCTTGTGCTCCATCATTTTGTGACAATTTATCATTTGGAGCCATGGGAGTAGCCACCGGCTTGCATTTTGTCATACCAAACCTTTTCAAGAGGTCTTCTATAAATCTTTCTTGGGAAATAATAATTTCTCTATTTGATTGTTTTATTTGAATCCCAAGAAAATATCTCATAAGGCCCCAATCCGCCATTTCAAATTCCTTCATCATACTTTTCTTAAATTCCTCCATCATCTTTTGGTTAGCACCAGTATAAATCAAATCATCAACATAAAGATAGACTATGAAAAAATCATATATACCTTTGTTTTTTTATGTAGAATGACGGTTCACTGAGAATTCTCTCAAATCCTTCTTGGCAAAAATACCTGTCAATTCTACTTTTCCATGCTCGTGGTGCTTGGATTAATTCATATAAGGGTTTTTTAAGTCGATATACTTTATTTTCATTTCCTTTTATCATATATCCTTGAGGTTGTTCAACATATACTTCTTCAAATTTTCCATTTAAAAATGCTGATTTTACATCCAATTGAAATACTAGAAACCTCATTTGTGCAGCTAATGCCAAGACAGATCTAATAGTTTCTATTCGTGCAATTGCGGCAAAAGTCTCAGTTTTGTCTTGTAGATTCATTTTAGTCCTATGGCTTCTTTGTTTTCGGGTCGTTCCATTAGCGCCCATGTTTGATTTTTCTTTATTACTGTTATTTCTTCATCCTTGGCTTTTATCCATTCTTCCTTTCTTATGGCATCTTCAAATTTTCTGGCTCACTAGCAAAAAGAGCAATATTACATGATTCATAAATTTCTATTAGTGAACTTATCTTTCTTAGTGGTGTCTCTGAGTCTTATGAGTCTTGACTTGGTGCGCCTAAAGGTACTGTTCTTGGGCTTGATTGAAAGCTTGCACTTTCTTGTGGAGTATTTCCTTCTTCTTTTATTATTGCTCTTGGTTCTTGGCCAGATTTTTCTTCTCATTTCCACTCACTTTTCTCATCAAATACAACAACTCTAGAAATTATCAATTTATTTGTTTTTGGATTGAAAAGGAGATATGCTTTTGAAACTCCACTATATCCAATAACGATATATTTTTCGCCTTTTTCATCAAATTTTTCAATATTTTGGGAAATTTGTTTTTCATAAGCCATACAGCCAAATACCTTGAAATAACTTACATTTGGGTTTCTTTTATACCAAGCCTCAAAAGGTGTTTTATTTTGAAGAGATTCAACAGGAGACCTATTAAGAATATAGACAGCAGTATAAACAGCTTCTGCCCAAAATTTATTGGGAAGATGCTTACCCTTTAACATACTTCAGGCCATTTCAACAATTGTCTTATTTCTTCTATCTACTACTCCATTTTGTTGCGGAGTATATGCTGCTGTCAACTCTCTTCTAATTCCATTGTTTTTGCAAAAATTCCAAAATTCTGTTGATGTGAATTCTCCTCCTCTATCTGTCCTCAAGGCTTTTACTGGAAAACCACTTTGTTTTTCTACATCAGTTTTAAACTGAGTAAAAACTAAAAATGCTTCTGATTTTTGGGCCAAAAAATATACCCACATCATCCTGCTGTAATCATCAACGATTAAGAGAAAATACCTTTTTTTAATTAAAACTTTCTGTTTGAGTTGGTCCACAAATATCAGCATGAACCAATTCCAATGGAACTCTAGTTCTCCAAGATGATTATGAAAATGGTAATCTGTGTAATTTTCCATAAACACAACATTCACATATTTTATTTTCTTCATTTATTGGTGGTAATCCTATTACCATACTTTTCTGGCCCATCAATCTTAGACTTTGAAAATTTAAGTGTCCAAATCTTAGATGCCAAGTAGGATTTATCAACATTTTTAGAACTCAGGGCATAATTTTCACATGTTGGTATGACCATAGGAAATACCTTATTTGGGGTCATTTTTACTTTGGCTATGGCCTAATTAATTTTCTTATCAAAGATTATACATTTATCTATATTGAATTTGATTGAATACCCATTTTTCATCAATTGCCCAACACTTAAAAGATTTTGTGTCAAGCCAGGAATATAAAAAACATCATGAATAAATTTAGGGCAAGCTCATTAGGTTTTACGGTAATTGTTCCCTTACCTTCAATATTTTGGAATTTTCCATCACCTAGCTTGACTTGTGCAGTGACTTTTTCATTTATCTCAACAAAATTACTCTTATTTCATGTCATATGATTGCTATATCCACTATCCAAGTACCAAACATCTTGTGAGTTTTGTTGGGCATTCATACATGAATAGAACATATCACCAGTATTATTATCTTCAGAAAAATTTACTTCATTTTTCTGAATTTGATTTTTCGTTTGAAACCAGCAATTCCTTTGAGAGTGATTTGGGATTCTGCATTTTCGACATTTACATCGGTAATTATTTAATTCATGCCCTGATTTTTTACAAATAATACAATATGATTCAGATCTATTTTTTTGATCTGAATTTCTCTGGCTGTTCATATTTCTGCCTCTTCCTCTTTCTTGATCTCTTGGAAAATTTTGTCTTCAATGAGGTCTGTGATAATTTTGAAATGTCCCCCTATCTCTATTTTTTTCAAAAATTTTCTTTCCAAAAATTGTAACTTTTGACTGAAAGGCTTGTTCAGTGTTCTGATTTGAAAATCTATTTAACCTTTGTTCATGTGCTTTCAAAGATCGACTTAATTCTTGTAAAGATACTTTAGATAAATCTTTTGATTCTTCTATAGCAGCCACAACATGGTCAAATTTTGTAGATAGGCTTCTTAAAAAAATTTGAACTGGTTTTTTATTAGAAATATCTTCTCCATAACATCTGATTTATTATTCCTGTAACTCTAGTGAAGAAATTATGAACTGTTTCACCATCTTTCTTCATCAAATTATCAAAATCTCTCTATAAATTTTAGAGTTTAATAGAAATTATTTTTTCAGATCTTTGAAATTCATGTTTCAAAATTTCCCATGCTTCTTTTAATTTTGAAGCTATTTTTATTCGAGGAAAAATAGCTTTACATACCGCTTGATGGATGAGGAGTAGGGCTTTTGCACCTCTCCTCTAATTTTCCTTGTATTCGTTCTACTTTGCCTATGACCATGATTCCAATGCTGTTACGCTTTCTGGCACTGAGTAGCCTTCTTCCACAATGTCCCACAAATCTTGTGAGATAAAAAGAGTCTTCATTTGGAGACTCCATGACTCGTAGTCTTCTCCATCTAAAATAGGAATTAGGCTTTGGGTATAATTCATTCCCGAAGTGGAGGCCATAAGAAATGGGTTTTTTAGAAGACACGGGGATATGGCTCTGATACCAAATATTGGGAATTTACGAAAGCATCGATGCAATAACTTTTCTAAAAAGTTTCACTATTTCATAAGCAAAAACAGGGTTACAACAACATAGTGTGGCTTGAGAGAACACCTAGCACTACTTCTTTCTTCACACACTTCGTTTACATCTCAACCCTATTTATAGGGCTTCTTGCCACCCTTTTATGGCTGTTAGGAAAATTCTAAAGAGGGAGAGAGGCGGTGGACTAGAGAGAGAGACCACCGATTGAAAGAGTCTAGAGAGAGGGAGAGAGGCAGTAGAAGGAGAAGCCTCTAGAGAGAGGCGGCAGTTTTAGAGAGTTTTCTAGAGAGAGAGAGAGGAAAATTATTAATTTAACACTAGATGCTCGAGTTCCCGAAGTTGTCCGAGAGATGCTGATATAGGTCCACCCAAAAACTCCTTTCCACGCAGATCAAGTGTTTTGAGCCCTGAGATTAAGCCAATATCATGAGGAATTGAACCTGTGAAATTGTTGAACCTCAGTATAAGTTCCTGCAATTTTGTTAGCTTCTTGAGCTCAACTAGAATGGGACCAGTTATTGAATTCCAAGACAAATTCAAGTGTACCAACTTATTGCATTAAAAAACGAAGGTTGGGAACTCCATTCAAGAATTATCATCTAAAGAGAGGTCTATAAGCGACTCCATTTCCTGAAATTTTGTCGAGTTAGGCAAAGTCAGGTAATTTTCTCCGAAATCCAAGAGGCTTACCTTTTTCAGTTTACCAAGCTGATAAGGGATCGGGCCGGAGAGGCTGTTGCATTCCAGAGAAATGTTGCGAAGTTATGTAAGATTGCTAATCTCCACTGGCACCAAACCCGTAAAAATGTTGCTTCCCAAATCCAAGACATTGAGCTTCGAAAGGGTGCCAATGGAACTAGGGATTTTACCTTGAAGATTGTTCGAACTAAGATTGAGGTGGTTAAATAGGGTAATGACAAGAAGTTTAGTTCATCGAGAGTATCGTTCAAACTGAAATTTGAAAGGTTTATCTCAATTACACTTCCATCATTATCGCATCAAACACCTGTCCACCCGCAATGACTGGTCTCATTGTCGGTGTCGAGAAACCATGAATCCAAATTGGAAGCTTTCAGACTGGTTTTCCAGTTAAATAGTGCTTGTGCTTCAAATTCAGCTAATGGTAAACCATAGGATGTAACTAAAAGATCGAAAACAATAGGAAAGAGCAAGATAGAGATTGGAAACCTCACCATTTCCGTTAGTTAAGAAGACACTTGGACCGTTAGTTATACTTGTTTTTAGAAGGATCACCTATTTGCATCCGTCTTTAAGATGGATGCTTTATACCGCATATTGCAGAAATACGGTCCAGCCCACATGAAACAATTTTCCTTTATAAATTAACCCATCTATAATGCTTCTCAAAAAAAAAAAGTCTAGCTATATGTGATCACAGGCTGTCGACCGTTTCGGAGGGGTTGGGCGTGTGTGTTCATTCAGCTTTTCCACCCTCTTCTTTGGGTTAGTCTGCGAGGACTTTTGAAAGTCTTGGAAAGACTTAGCTGCTGTTGTGGGAGCCACTCTGTCGATTTGCTCCCTGGGGTAAAATTCCTATTACAAGTATTTTGGGACCCTAAATTTTAAGGATGTAACCTATTGAACCAGTTATCAACATCAGAAAAAAAAAAAAACTAGGCGATTCTCTAAGGATATACACCGTTTCCCAAAAGCGTTGTGGATGGGCCTCATGACAAAAGCACAAGTTTTTATTTAATAAAACTCAGCTGACAATGGGCTATCCGTACATGAGCACATATGCGATGCTCCTCCAAGATTAGATTGTACATTTACTTCGTCAGTCCGAAGAACTATATGGGAAACATTTTTGAGTTTGAAATTTTTGTAACAACCTAAGAATCACTAGATGAATATTTTTAAACGAAAATTTTGAATTTTGAGTATTCTAACACTTAGATATTCCCCTTAAAAAATTTGATGGTTTGTATTTAATTTTGAGACTTTATTTTTTCAAGTGCATAAAGAGTGCAATTTGGAATTTGCTTTTATTTTTTATCCAAAATTTGGGGTCATAAAGTTATGGACGAGTTTTTATGAGTCGGCTACATAACTGAGCTCCCTCTAACATCGGACTTAAAGATAGATTGTATATCTAAACTTTTTTTAGAGGTTCATTGTATTACAATGTATTACATTGTATTACAATTTATTACAATTGTATTACAATCTATTACAATGTAAAACAATTGTATTGCAATGTATTACAATTTTTTACATTTTATTACAAATGTATTACATTGTATTGCAATTGTGTTTCAATGTATTACAATGTATTACATTGCTTGAATTAGAGATTGACTCGTCTCGAGTGCACTTCTTCTCAGGAAGAGGAAGAGGACGACCACAAACCTATGGGTTCCCATAATATGATGAAACCTTGAATGTGGTCGTCTGGCCATTGTAGGGAATGGGTCCTGATAAATTATTGAAGGACAAGTTCAAAGTGTTTAAGAATGTCATAGATGGCATGTTTGGAAAAATTTCATCTGAAAGCATATTGTTTGATAAATCGAGCCACTCCAAATTCTTCATTTTGTAAATCTTCTCGAGAATCCTCCCAATGAGATGGTTGTGGGACAGGTTTAGGAAATGCAGCCCACTCAATCTTGTCAATTCTTCGGGAACTCTTCCTGAAAAATTATATCTCGATAAGTCGATACATGCCACTTTAGAATCGAACCAGTTATACTCTCTCATTTTCCCATTTGCATATATGTAAACATCTCCATTAGAATAGAACCAGCCATGTGCTCGCTTTTTCCCATTTACATCGTAAATATCTCCATGGCTATATAAATATAAAACGTTAAATGATAATCCTTTGGTGTCTTGGACATGATCTTTGTTGTTATATTGTTGAAAATGGCAGGGATAGTGCCAAATAGACTATTGAGTGCTAGATCTAGTACTTGAAGAGAATATAGCTGCGATGTCCCCCAAGGAATCACTCCTTTGAACATATTAGACCTTAGGCGAAGAACATGAAGGGACGTGATGCTCTTGCCAATCCATGATGGGATTTTCCCAGATAACCGGTTATCACCGATATTAAGAAGCTTTAATTTGGAACAATTTTTCAATGATGGGGGTATTTTGCCTGATAATGTATTGTTACTCAGGTCCAAATACTGGAGATCTGTTAGGTTTCCCAAGGTAGTTGGAATAGGCCCCATCAATTTATTTCCAGCAAGATCAAGCACACTCAAATTCACCAAATCTCCTATGGAGTTGGGGATGGATCCTGTAATACCACTATTAGCAACATTCAACACTAGTAGATTAGGCATGACTTGCCCAATGTTTTTTGGAATAGAGCTTGAAAATCAATTTACCTGATTCGGAAATTTGAGACAACTCGTGTTCATGAAGTGTCGTGAGTTTTTTGACTCGTTGCCTTGAAAATATTTGAGCATACATCTAAGACCTTAATGGCTTCAAGGTTCCACAGTTCTGACGGAAGAGAACCTGTGAGATGGTTGCCAGATAGGAATAAGTAACGAAGTTTGCAAAGATTTCCAATTGAGGAAGGGAGTGAACCATTGAGCTTGTTACTGAAAAGATTCAAGATTTCAAGATTTGTTAGATTCCCTATTAGCAAAGGGATATGTCCAGAAAACGTATTCGAAGATATTTCTAGCCAACGAAGGTTCTTGAGAAGACCACTTTCTGGGGGGATTGGTTCGATGAATGAGTTTTCTCTGAGACTCAAGCTTCTTAGATTAGTCCAATTAGTGAAAATCCACCCAGGAATGGCACCAATGATTATATTCCCATCAATATAGAACTCAAAAATTCTACTCAATGCAGCAAGAGATGGTGGTAAAGAACCTTTTATATTATTTCCAGACAAATATAAGTGTTTTAGGTTTGTGCAAAACCCAAGCTGAGATGGTATGCCAGAATTCAACCCACACGTGGAAAGGTCTAGATGCTCAAGAGCTCGAAGTTGTCCGAGAGATGATGGGATAGGTCCACCCAAAATATCATTTCCACTCAGGTGTAGTGCTTTGAGACCAGAGATTAAGCCAACATCATGAGGAACTGAACCTGTGAAATTGTTGCCACTTAGTATAAGTTCCTGCAATTTTATTAGCTTCTTGATCTCAACTGGAATCGGACCAGTTATTGAATTCCAAGACAAATCAAAGTATACCAACTTCTTGCATCCAAAAATGAAGCTCGGGAACTTCATTAAAGAATTATCATATAAAAAGAGGTCTATAAGCGACTCCATTTCCTGAAATTCTGTCGAGTTAGGAAAAGTCGGTTGGTTTTCTCCAAGGTGCAAGAAGTTTGCCTGTTTCAATTTACCAAGCTAATAAGGAATTGGGCCGAAGAGGCTGTTGCATTTCAGGGAAATGCTGCGAACCTCTCTGAGATTGCTAATCTCCACTGGCACTGAACCCGTAAACATGGTGCTACCCAAATCCAAGACATTGAGCTTTGAAAGGGTGCCAATGGACCTAGGGATTTACCTTCAAGATTGTTCAAACTAAGATTGAGGTGGGTTAAATAGGGCCATGACAAGAAGTTGAATCCATGAAGAGTACCTCTCAAATAGAAGTTATAAAGGTTTATCTCAAGATTGGGGTGCTGCCCTAGACAAAATAATCTTTAAAAAAAAATTAATTGCAATTTGAGGATGGAGTCCCTGGACAGAGGGACAATTTTGAAAAAGAATAAAAAAATGCGGGTTGACCGACCTTCATTGCAATCGGATCATCGCATAGAATCGTGTATCAAAGTTTGCAATCTCGCAAATCTTCGTAATCAAAACATTAGCACACATACAGTTGTGTATCAAAGTTCGCAATCTCGTAAACAGTGTTAAAAAACTTGAGCGAGCTAAGTTGGACTCTCGCCACTTTGGTTGACATTATGTATAGACCCCAAAATAATTACTTAGAATACGAAATGATCTGATCATTGGCAGAATTATAAGAAAGGTCGTTGGACTTACCTTTTTTTATTTTCCCAAAATTGCCTCTCAATTCAAGGATTCCATTCTTCGATCCTGCATTTGAATTTTTTTTTTTTTTATGTTTCTCAGTAATAGCACAGTGCCCTAGCTTTAGAGCCAGTGCCCCAGCTTTAGGAGTAGTGCCCAGGTAGCTTGAGGTTAGAATCGTCATATCGCCCTGCAAACACAACAAAATTCCAATAGAACAGTATAAGGTCCCCATCCTCAGAGCATTATTTTTCCCAAATAAATAAGAAATAAAATGCGGTCTGAGGATGGGGACCTTAGACCGCCTTGAAACTCAGTTTTACTAAGTCTAGAGAGCGGTCCGAGGTCCCCATCCTCGGACCGTTGTTTTTCTCAAAAATAGGAGATAAAGAGTGGTTTGAGGATGGGGACCTCGGACCACTGTTTTTCTCAAAAAATAAGAACGAAAGAGTGGTTTGAGGATGGGGACCTCGGGCCACATTGGAACTGAGGCCTGCTAAATCGAGAGGGCAATCCAAGGATTCGAGCCTCGGATCACCTGGGCACTGCCCCTAATGCTTGAAGCGCTGCCCTACTTATGACAAAATAATTTTTTTAAAAAAATTAAGTGCAATTCAAGGATGGCGTCCTCGAACCAAGGGACAATTTTGAAAAAAAAAAAAAAATGCCGGTTGACTGATCTTCCTTATAATTTCGGACAACAATTATATTTTCGGTGAAGTTTTTGAGTCTGTACATAAATTACTCTATCTAATAAACATCTTATGCACAATTCCACGTAGATAATGAACCATTAGAGATCGTAAATGATGCGTACCAAAATTTAAAAGGGAAATCATCTCCTTACCTTTTATTTTTAACTTCTCTATCTCTTTGAACCTAAGGATGAAAAATATTACTTAGAAGCAAAGAACCTCATTTTTTTTTTATCTTGCAACCCCCTTAAACCCTTTTTAGATGTATTTTTTACCCCAATAAAAATTAAAATGATATCCTCTCTCTCTCTCAAATCGCGGTCTTTCATAGCGTGGTCTCCCTCTCTCTCAGAACAACATCTCTCTCTCTCTCTCTCTCTCTCTCTCTCTCTCTCTCTCAGAAAATGTAACTCAGCATTTTGGTTAGTGAAAGAGAGAAAGTGATGGTAGAGGTTGAGTGAGGGAGAACATAGTTGTGGGCCGACTACTGGTGGCTGAAATGAGGGCTTGGTTGCAGGTAAGATGGAAGAAAGGGGGGTGATGCCTGGTTGCATATTTTGGGCACAGGATGAAGGAAGAGAGATGGACGAGGATGAAAAAAAGGGAGCAGCAGCAGGGGGCCGCAACAGGGGATGGATTGGTTGCAGGTGGTGATCATGGCTTGGTTGAGAAGAGGGGAAAATGCGGATGGTGGCTGCAGAGGTGGAACGAATAGGTGGAAATGGGGGCCCGGCCGCAACTGGTTGAGGGGGATGACAGAGAGAAAGAAAGTGCAGTGGGGTACCTGTTGGTTTTTCTTTGCTGAGCCCAGTGTTCTTTATTTTTTGTTTCAATTTGGAAATTTTTCGGATAGAAGACGGTCGGATTTGTCTCTTCTCTCTTCTCTCTTCCCTCGCACCTCTCAATCAGCCACCGCTTCCCTCAACCATCGCAACCGCCGCACACAACAAGCCCACCACTGCTGCCTTCTTCCCACGACCTCCCATCTGCTCTCTCCTCAATCGCCGAACATAGTAGTACGCACCCATTGCTGAGAGAGGAAGTTATTTTAATTTTTATTCGGGTAAAAAATTCATCTTAAAAGGATTAAGGGGGTTGCAAGATAGGGAAAATGGAGGTCCTTTGCTGCCAAGTAATATTTTATATCCTTGGATTCAAAGAGATAGAGAAGTTAAAAATAAAGAGTAAGGAGATATTTTCTCAGCCCAGGTTTGTACGCCCAGCAAACCGAGCGGGGTCGGATTGGTCCTTCCAACCTCACTGAGGTATACAACCCACTATTTAAATGACTATTAACTAACTCTCTCTAATGGGTGCAGATGGCATACAGACGCTTTCGTAGGTGTAGAGGTTTGCACTTCAAATTTTATCACGGTATATAATTTTGATGTAAAATGTTCTTTGGATTATCTTAAAATCTATTTTTATATCTAATTATAAAATTTTAAATTTAAAACATGGTTAAGTAGATTTATAAACTTATGAAAATCTTGAAAATAGACGGTGTAGATAATATGTTGTAAAATACACTATTTTTGAGACTTATTATATGTTTCATAGTCATACATCTTGATGTCAAGATGATCAATCAAAGTGTTTTTCAACATTAAAGCTACCTTTTCCGATTGATTTTTGAGGGGCATCCGTAGTTCTACATTATAAGGTACCATCCTTATTTAAACTTTTTCCCTCTCTAATACCACACGAGTCAGTTTTCTTTTCCAAAACAAACAAAAAAAAGTCCCTCTCTTTCCTCTCTCTCTCTCTCTCTCTTTATTTATTGATATTGAACTGAACTTTCAACAACACAAAGGCACAACAACAGATGTTGTTCAAAAAGAAATAAAAGAAAAAGCAAAAACATAGTAATAGACACCATACAAGCTTAGGAGACATTGAATACTATTGCTTTCCCTTAGTACTTGCACCTCATTTGACAACTTCACACACCAAATCTTCTTCTGAGACATTTCAAGCACATCAAAGTTTGTAATCTCGTAATCAAAATTTCTGCGAAGCAATCCATCTATTCAAGAATGGAATGGGACCATTGCCTTGGAACAAATATCACTGAGAAAAACCCACTGAATCCAAACCCAAATCCTAAATCCACGCTCATCCATGGAATCCTTGATGGCCTATTTCTCATATCCCTGCTATTGCTTGAATTTGAGATTGACTTGTTGCAAGTGCACTTCTTCTCAGGAAGAGGAAGAGAAGGACCACAAAGCCGTAGGTTCCCGTAGTACGATGAGGCCTCGAATGTGGTCGTCCGACCACTGTAGGGAATGGGTCCTGATAAATTATTAAAGGACAAGTTCAAAGTACTTAAGAATGTCATAGATGGCATGTTTGGAGGAATTTCACCTGAAAGCATATTGTTTGATAAATCGAGCCATTCCAAATTCTTTATTTTGTAAATCTCCTCAAGAATCCTCCCACAGAGATAGTTGTGGGATAGGTTTAGGAAATGCAGCCCACTCAATCTTGTCAATTCTTTGGGGAACTATTCCTGAAAAATTATTTCTCGAAAAGTCGATACATGTCACTTTAGAATAGAACCAGTTATACGCTCTCATTTTCCCATTTGCATCTATGTAAATATCTCCATGCCCATATGTATATAAACCTTTAATCAATATCATTTTCCCATTTACATATATGTAAACATCCCCAGGGTTATATGGATATAAACCTTCAAACGGTACAAAATAGAGTATGTAATCATCTAGTGGTGTCTTGGACAAGACCATTGCCGTTAAGTTGTTGAAAATGGCAGGGAAAGTGCCTGATAGACAATTGAGTGTTAGATCGAGCACTTGAAGAAAATGTAAATGTGATATCCCCCAAGGAATCTCTCCTTCAAACATATTAGACCTTAGTCGAAGGACATGAAGGGACTTGATGCTCTTGCCAATCCATGATGGGATTTTCCCCAATAACCGGTTATCACCGAGATCAAGAAGCCTTAATTTGGAACAATTTCTCAATGATGGGGGTATTTCGCCTGATAATGTATTATTACTCAGGTTCAAATACTGGAGATCCATTAGACTTCCCAAGGTAGTTGGACTAGGTCCCATCAATTTATTTCCAGCAAGATCAAGCAAAATCAAATTCACCAAATCTCCTATGGAGTTGGGGACGGATCCTATAATACCACTATTAGAAACATTCAACACTAGTACATTAGGCATGACTAGCCCAATGTTTTTTGGAATAAAGCTTGAAAATCGATTTGCCTGATTGAAAATTTGGGACAACTCATGTTTATGCAATTTGATAACTTTTCGTACTTGTTGCCTTGAAAATCATTTTAGCCTACATTTAAGATTTCAATAGCTTCAAGGTTCCACAGTTCTGGAGGAAGAGAACCTGCGAGATGGTTGCCAGATAGGAGTAAGTATTGAAGTTTGCAAAAATTTCCAATGGAGGAAGGGAGTGAACCATTGAGCTCGTTACTTAAAAGATTCAGTACCTCATGATTTGTTAGATTCCCTATTTCTCGAGGGCTATGTCCAGAGAACTTATTCAGAAATTTCTAGCGCTCGAAGGTTCTTGTGAAGACCAATTTCTGGGGGGATTGGTATGATAAATGAGTTATGTGCGAGACTCGTGCTTCTTAGATTAGTCCAATTGGTGAAAATCCACCTAGGGATGACACCAGTAATTCTATTGAAACCAATATTAAACTAAAAAATTCTACTCAATGCAGCAAGAGATAATGGTAACGAACCTGTTATATTATTTTAAGCCAGATCTAAGTATTTTAGGTTTGTGTAAAGCCCAAGCTAAGATGGGATGCTAGAAATCAACCCACACAAGGAAAGGTCTAGACGCTCAAGAGCTTGAAGTTGTCTGAGAGATGCTAGGATAGGTCCACCCAAAATAACATTTCCCCACAGGTCTAGTGTTTTGAGACTAGCGATTAAGCCAATATCATGAGGAATTGAATCTGTGAAATTGTTGCCACTTAGTATAAGTTCCTGTAATTTTGTTAGCTTCTTGAGCTCAACTGGAATGGGACCAGTTATTGAATTCCAAGAAAAATCCAAAAATGAAGCTCGGGAACTTCGTTAAAGAATTATCCTATAAAGAGAGATCTATAAGCGACTCAATTTCCTGAAATTTTGTCGAGTTAGGCAAAGTCAGGTAATTTTTTCCGAAATCCAAGGGGCTTACCTTTTTCAGTTGACCTAGCAGATAAGGGATCGGGCCGGAGAGGTTGTTGCTTCTAAGAGAAATGCTATGAAGCTCTGTGAGATTGCCAATCTCCACTGACACCGAACCCGTAAACATGTTGATACCTAAATCCAAGACATTGAGCTTCAAAAGGTTGCCAATGGACTTGGGGATTTTACCTTGAAGATTGTTCAAACTAAGATTGAGGTGGGTTAAATAGGGTAATGACAAGAAGTTTAATTCATCGAGAGTACCGTTCAAACTGAAATTTGAAAGGTTTATCTCAATTACACTTCCATCATTATCGCATTGAACACCTGCCCACCTGCAATGGCTGGTCTCATTGTCGGTGTCGAGTAACCAAGAATCCAAATTGGAGGCTTTCATACTGGTTTTCCAGCTAAATAGTACTTTTGATTCAAGTTCAGCTAATGATAAACCAGTGGATATAACTAAAAGATTGAAAACAATAGGAAATAACAAGATATAGATTGGAAACCTCACCATTTCCGTTCAATGCGAAATGCTATTGATTGAATTTGCTTGTTCTGGGTACAGGATTCTGTATCCAAATTTATAGACCATTGTGAAGAAAAAAGTAATGAAAATTCATAGGTTGGAAACTGGTATCAACTTTCTTTATTTTGTCTTTTTTTTTGCCACTTGTCCTCCCTCAATTCAGAACACTACCGTACGATGATTCGTGATTTCTCTCTCTTTCAATACTTGAGAAACGTGTTTCATGATGAGTAACATACGGTCTTTTTGTCACATCTTATGCTTTTGTTTGTTTGGTTGTGTGGAATTTCCCAAAAGTCTTGCCATTAATATGATCCATTGTAGGCCACAGTGTTCAACGGAAATTTAACCCCAATCAATCAATGCACTTTCTGAGTATGACTTGAAGAATTACTCGGGTTTTTTGAATGCAATCTCTCTCGCTCTCTCTCAAATTTCATTTCTTTAGTATTGAAACCTAAATAACATTTTCTCTTCATGACTTGGAATAAGCAATCAACCTTTTGAGGATCTACGAATTCCTATTTCTATCAAAATCATAAATTATTTAACTTCTCATTTTAGTACCGAAATTTATTTTTCCGATACTAAAGGATTGAAGTGCTAAATTGATCAATTGTTGTAAGTTTCTATGCGGCCAGCCCGCATATTGAAGAAATACAGGGTTGGCAATAAATATATTTTTAAATATAATTTGATTTTAATTTTTAGAGAATATATAATCTTTAACACAGAGATCATGAATATGAATTTTTTTTTTACAAACTAAAAATAATAATTATATTAAGAAAATATTTGGCCCGCTAGTTACACTTACTTTTAAAGAGACCACCTATTTGTATCTTTCTTTAACATGAATGCTTTATACTTCTTGACCGCATATTGTAGAATTTTGCTCCCTCAGGTAAAATTCCAATTACAAGTATTTCGGAACCCTAAATTTTAAGGATGTAACCTATTGAACCAATTCATAACATC